ATCACTTAGCGATCTGAACACTGTCCAGTCCGTGACTGCGTAGATACTGAATGGGGAGAAGGCAGTCAACAACTCCCTTTTTGGGATTCCGTCGGTGACGATCTGGCAAAATGCCCATTTTCAGTTTGTAGTTTTCGTCGTTGATAGGGTACGCCTCGATGGATCTGGCCGAGCCCGTGGCCACCCAACCTTCAAGCAACGCGTCTGGTGCATTTTTACAAGAGCTCACATCAGGGGATCTCTGCCCAATGCGTCAGAATTAAGGTGTGGTTGGACAAAGACATCTAATTTCGGACACCCACAACCTTTCAGTGTTAACCTCTGCTGGTCATTTTGGCCTCCTATTCTTGAAAATAATTTTTGTTTTGTTTTGCTGATTACGTTTTCGTCCACGAATCTGGCGGAGGGATTGCTAAAACCGCCGCACTCTTTTGCTGGGGCGATTTTAACTTAACTCACTTTTAACAGTTAACTCACTCCACCTGCCTGCTAACCTCTCACGGAAAACGGAATTTCAAAGCGGATGGTGCCTATTTGTATCGGATGGTGGTTTTGATCCTACATTACGATCATGCTGATGGCTGTTACCACCTTGTTTGTCCCAGTGCGTACAAGGCTCCTTACTGGTGGCTGTAGTGTTAGCGACATACGCAAGCGTGCGAAGTTTGGAGCCTATCGAGTCGTTAGATCTACGGATAGACAGGGGCGTTATAAGTCAAAACTCGCGTAGCTTAGAACTCTGAGACCATTGGTGAAGCCTTAAAATATTGGGGATGCAGTGGAACATTAACGTAACACCGATGACCTTGCTTGATGCAAACAATGAGCTCGCAAAGCCTACCTGCAACTCTAGCTTTTACGCTTGAGTTCCACTTGGCTATGAGCCCAAATGGCGTATCAGCATATTTCCAGCGTCCATCTTAAACAGAAAACGCTTATCTTGAAGGGAGTGCCCCACATCTATGTGAGATTTTAAACTGAAATAGCTATTTTTAGGATCATTCAGTGCAGCTCACAGCCCTGCCCTTCTTCAGGCCTAAAACTTTCTAGTGTCTGAGCTACGCGTCAGCGAAGATGCGCAGACAATTGCGTGCAGACTATTCAAGTTCCTTCGAGCATGCATGATGCCATAAGAACGGCATTCATATTCTGCCACCCCATCGGCCATGCAGCGTTCAAGGCGAACACGAATATAATTGTTGACCCGTTCATATCTGGTGTTCGCGAGCACGACTTCTATGTAAAGTGGACGTTAATTGGCTCTCAGTAGATGTTGAACAGGCTGAGCCAGTTTCAATCACAAATCACGTTTTGTGCTACTTAATACCGTAAGTTGGACATCCAAATTTGGACGTAGTTATTACGAAAATAAGACTTGTAATCGAATAACTTAAGAAAAGCGCCATAACCGAGTTACATGCGAATGCAAGTAAGCACCCTATACTTACAAAATAACAAGCAAAAGAGATAAGCAAGAACACGACAGAAAGACCCAAACTTACCGGTACATAACGATATTCAGTTCAGCAACGCCACGGCCACCTCTCGGGAATTTAAAACACTCCAAGTGAGTGTTTGAGCGGCGATTTCGCAAGGCTAGTTTGACAGCACCTAGCGTAATGAAAACGTTCCATAACACAATCAAACAATCGCGTATTGATGAACATATTTATTAAACAGAGAAATTGTGCTATCTTTTGTTGCAAATTGAGCAGCTTTTTGCGCTAAAAGTACCAATACCTATGAATGAACTCATCTCATCATATTTGATGTTTATGTGAATATCTTCAAATGTGGAACATTCCGTGAGTTGTTAAATGCATTCGCGAGGAACATTAGGTAACATATTAGGTAACATTAGGTAACACATTAGGAACATGCACATAGGTAAGACAGCAGTAATAGCTTTATTTCTCGTAGAACAAATTAGAAGGGAGAGACAAGACACCCTCGCGCTGCTCGTCTGCGGCAAGCAGAATCTCGGCGATAAGCGTTTTCATAAAGCACACACCTCATAAAAATCCACTGATCGAGATTTCCAATGTCTTTTTTAGACTGTTGGCCCCAAATGTAAGCGTGTTTCCTCAATTTGTTTTTATCAATGTGACTTCCCTATTGTTAATGCGGGGATTGATGCTTATCTACGTGTCTGCTGAATACAGGTGTTTACATACATTCTCTTACAGGCTTTTATGTGTGGTATTCATTACTTACGTGCACAAAATTGTAAGCCGAAATATCTTCCCGCTGTAGTTATACTTGCGAAATATTCACTTTAAAAACGGATATCATGCATCCGAAATACAATACCGAAATGTAGCGCGTCAGTAACATTCGGTGCCATAAACAGCCAAGTCAGTCAAACTCCCCACCGTCGTCCGTTACGTCTTGGCATTGGCTTTGCTAGTGCCGTCAGTGACACCAGTAACATCAGTTCTGGTCCAGTGACGTCAGTGGCATCAGCTCTCATGAAGCCACCTTCAGCGACCAGCTCACCGGTCGGCGGCGGCGGCGGCGGCGGCGGCAGTCCTGCGCTATTTGTCCGCCTGGCAGACCGCGCGGTTCGACCACGCCCGTCGGACGGCTGAGCCGCCCCACCTGTGGCCTCCCCTCCCCCCGTCTACGGGGCTCATCGTGCATCTGTACAAACGGAGACGCCCTGCCATCGCGGCCTACGCAGCTGTTGAGTCGGGACAGGAGGTATCTCGATTCTCGAATGGTGACGCCGGTGTTGGAATCTTGGAACTGCTGATGGCGAACTTCCTTTCCACAGTGATAACCTAGATATAGTTAAACAAGAGAGGCTTTGAACTCCTGGAATTTACGCATTGTGATTTGAGAGATCTTGTTCTGAAAATAATTACCTTCAAAACACCAAGAGATA